TATATATATATATAAAAGAGCGTGTAAAAAAGGGAATCATCAAAGGGGAGAGAAACGCGTATAAAATAGCCGTGAAAAATCGATTCAGCCCGATGAGACCGTCCGATCGATCGTCAATCTCGTTGGGTTACGACCGCGAAATTCCCGCGAAAAAAAAAATGCCGATCGTCGCGTGCAGCTGATGAAACAAACCGTGTAACCGGATCTTCCGGCGATCATCGGCCGCTGGCATCACTCCCCTTTGTTTTCTTGTCCTCCTCCCTCCTCCTCCCCACCCCCCCCCCTGAAAAAAAAGCCTACGCCTCCACGACACATCCCCCACCTTTCTCTTTCCACGATTCATTTTTTTCTCTTTTCTCTTGTTTATTCGAACGAGACGCGAGGTATATAGGTTCTTCTGTAGATACCGAATAGACACATAGATAGCAGATAGCTTTAATTATTTAAGCGGTAAACGGTAACTTTCTTAGGCGAAGCAAGAAAAAGTCATCCGCGATTTTTCGGGTGAGGAATTTGTAATATAGGGTTGAACGAGAGGAGGTTCGTGCGGACAAAACCGGGCGGAGGTCGCATAGAAGGACCACCGGAAGGAGGGGAAAATCATATCGTAAACCTAATAATGAATATTTTACAGAAACGACGACGAAATATAAGGGGGAAACGAAGGAAAAAAAAAAAAAACGTGAATAATAAGAGGAAAAAAAAAAAAGAATCGTAAGGATAAACACTGTAGATAGACACGTTCGGAAACATTAAAAGATACAAAAAGGAAGAAAGAGAGAGAAAGAGAGAGAGAGAGAGAGAGAAAGAAATAAGGAAATAGAGAAATAATAAAATAGTTATCGAGGCTCTTGTACAACGGCGCGTTTTACACGTCACACGTGAAATGATCAAAAAGTGAATAACAAATTTTCGAGGATAAAGAGAAAAGAAAATGAGTAAAATAGCGACGGGAGGAGCGAGATATTACATGCCGAGAAAGGACATTGTCATTCAGTAGTGAAAATAATTGTATTAAAAAAAAAAAAAAAAAAAACAACCCATGAGACGAAACGAGAGAAGGTTTATCTAACAGTAATAGTTTATTGATTTGTATTTCATTTCAAATTGTATTATAGCTTAAAGATTATCCTGTACATTGCATACACATACACACATACACACTCACACACGAGCACTATTGTTTTAAATTGTACGTTTATGATTATTATACGAAGATAAAAAAGAAAATAAATAAGGTATACAAAGTATTGACGACACGTGGGAAATTTTATTCTGAATCTCTCGGTCTACGAGAATCTTCGACGACTCCTTTACGGCAGATATGTAGAAATCGCATCTTCAGAGGCATCGAGCGTACACATGTTTATGTGGAAACTTTCTTTTATAACGTAACCGAATGATTTGAGGCTTGGTGATATATTCTACGCCATACAGGCTATTCAAATTGTTTTAACAGAAAGTAATTAGTAATTTCATGGAAGTTATTTTGGTTCGTGAATGAAGGTGGAAATTTTTAAATGAACTAACGATATGTGAAAAT